TAAAGGATTCTATGATTCTATTATTCTTTGTCATATTTAATAATATGGGAGTCCTTTGGAGTTGATGGCAATAAAATAATAACTTAAATATACTGATACTTAATTGGTAGGTAATTATCTTTATTGTTTTACAATAGAAATGTTGCTGCGGAAGAGGTTAATTGGTATAGATGCTGGAGAGCCTCAAAGAATATTGTACAAGATAGTCAACTTGGAATAGTACACAGTCTTAGAAATCATTTTTGTGGGGAAGATAGTGTTGCAATGGATGTTTTAGTGTCTACGGTATTTTTTAGAAACCACCTGCACATAACACTTGCGTGTAAATTTAGGTTATTTGTGCTCAGTGTTCAGTCCCTGCTGAGGCTTATGGAGAGCTTGCCTTCCCTTTGGTGGCGGTGCCAGTCTGGGGAAGTGACTGGTCCCTGGCGGGCGGCTCTCCCCACGCGCAGGGGTCGCCATGGCAACAGGATGTCACCCCACCGCTGGGCACCGCAGAGAGGCTCCTCCCGCCCGTGGCAGGGCAGCTGGAAGCCCGGGAGCTCGCTGCCTGCAAGAGCAGCACTGAGTGGAACAAACACCCTGCCAGCCTTCAGCCAGCAAACAACCTCCTGCTGGACAGATCAGGCTGTGTTTCTTAGCTTTCTTTGTATATTCATTGTTTATTTTTTACATATAAAGGAAAAGAACATTGATCAGAGCTAATATTTTGGGGTTTTTTGCTTGCAGGAAAGGAAGAATTAAACATCATGGGTAGTTACTGTCTGTATTTGTTCATTGTTTCAACATGCCTTACTAGTGTCAATAAAGAAAAACTGGAACTTTAACTTGGGTGAACTTAAAAGTATATATTTGCTAAATGACAAATGACTTTCTGAGGTGAAGCTTTAAACGTTAGAACAAAAGTTCTTTTTCCGTGCAGTTTTTCCATCTAGAGAGCCAGTAGCACTTGTGTAGTTGTCTCTTTTTCAGGAAAGATAATGCATATGATTTCCTGGAGCAGCTTCTGTTACTTTCCTTTAAAATGCCTCTTTTCCCCATGCATCATAATTCTTTGTACATGCAAATTTTGTGTATTTAGAAGCAGTATATAATACACATGTCTTAAGATAAGTCCAGAGTGGCATCTAGTTACATAGAATATACCTTGGATCTTATATCTTACAAACCTATGAGAATTCACCTTTCTGCTTCTTCATATCCCCTTCTTTTTACTGAGCCTTCAGATGTACTTTTTAAGTAGCCAGATGTGAAGACTAAGGACCTACATATTTGTGCATTTATGCTATTCCCACGCAAATAATCCCCTCCCTTTTGAGTGGGTCCCATTGGCAGTGGCTTTCATAGAGTTCAGAGAAAACTGAGAGGGCCAAAATGTATCAGGGAGGTACTGAACTTTGAAAAGATTTACATGCTGACTCTAAGCAGATCCATTCATCACTGTCTGTGAATGACAGAAGCTGATGCCATGAATGCTTCATTTTTCATACTGTGAAGTGTAATTCTTCCAAAATCTCTAGATTTTTCATTTCCTTTTCAAAGGAACAGTTTAACCTGAGTGGTTAGTATTTGAAGAGGGTTCTGGAGAAAAGTGAGCAGAATGTGACTCACCCCAGCTGACAGAAGCTTGACACCATCAGGAGAATCAGAGAGCACTACCATCAGAGCTTTAGTAGACCTCTCATAAAATGTACAGGTATATCCAGGACCTGCTATGTTTAGATAACATCAGTTTTATAGGACCATCTGCTGTTTGCCATCATGGTTTAATATTTCTTGAAAGTCCTCCATGGCTTGGTGGGCCTTAGAACACAAATTCCTGTTTAAGGTATTTGGCTAAAGAAAAGTTTGATTGACTTCATCTAAAGCAATTACCTGTTTCTCTGCACTGACTGGAACGTCTTTGCCAAGATATTCAGGGCCTGAATGACTCAGAACTACGAGCATCACTTTTACATCCCTTCTAATACCTCCTGGTAATCTTTGCTGGTAATCATTAAGTATGAATTCTTTAAATACTGAGCACGGTTTTAAGTCATACAGAGTAGCACTTGTTTGTTTCAGAATATTTTGGGGTTTTTGACAACAGAAGTCTCATAAGCAACTATATTTCCTTAATAATTCTTTTGTATGCTTTGGAGCTCAATTTGGGTGACTTTCAGTGCAATAAAGGGAGGGAGGGTTGTTTTTTTGTTTTCTTGGAGTTGGGTTTTTTGATTCTTCATAATCAGAATTCTTGCTGCCAAAGCAAACAGTGTCACAAAAATTGCATTAAAAAGGTAAAAACAAACAAACAAACAAACAAACAAACAAAACCTAAAAAAAAAAAAATAACTCCTAATCCCAAACGAATGAGACTGTAAAAGATCTAGTGGTATATCTAAAAAAAGTGCTATCCTGCTCCTTACTGCAGGCCTGTTGTTGTAGGGTATTAGATTTATGCTTTTCTTGTATTTTAGTTATGGAATAAGATGTTTGTCAGGGCCTTGTGAGCCTGACAATTATACTGGTAGAAATGCTGTTACTGGCCAAAATAAATACATCTGATATTATCTAGTGTTGGAATTGCTTTATCTTTTACAGCTTTTGTGATTTAATATTGTGAAACAAGCATCTGTCATCCCTTATCCTATAAGAGAACTGATATTCTGACAGTTTTTTCTCTCTTTGTATGTTGTCCTTATGGTTGTTCTTCATAAGAAAAAACATTCTCCTCATTAAAAAGGTTCTTTAGGTTCTGTGTATGTTTGCTCTGGAATTTTGAAACACAAGAACACTTCTCTGCATAGTTGGTATCTGTTGTATCTGGATAAAGTAGTTTTGTACTATTGCTTAAACAGACATCAAGAAATGCATGAATCTTCTTTGATTAGAAGTCAGTAAAAAATATTAGTTTATCTTCTATTTTTCCTGTTCATTTAAAACTCTGAACATCGGAGCCTAACAAAGATCTTGCAGATTGTGTCGTATTATCCTGTACTACTATCCTGATCTTCATACAGTAGTGTAAAAAGTTAACTTTACATAAGTAAAGACTAAAAGCCTGCAAAGCCTGAGACTAATGAATCTACCAGAGTTAAAACACGTAGTCCTTTCACAAAGATTGTAAGGGAATTGGCAGATCCACTCGCTGTGTAAGCCATGAGGACTGGATAAAAGCAGAACCATGTGGTACTAACTGTGTTTCACAGCTCAGGCTCTGTCAACCCAATGTGGAGAAGGAAGTATTTATAAGAGTAGCCTCTTGTGTTGTCAAAACATCTCTGGATTTCCAGAGCAGCTGTGCAATGTTTTGTCCTTGATAGTTACTGTTTATTCCAGCTGGTGGAAGTGAATATCTACAGTTTACCAAAGCTTTTTGCTGTAATGTAAAGTAGCTAGAAGCTTTTACTTAGCTTTTTTTTCTTTCTTTTTTTTTTTTTTTAAATGGCCTTTAAATATGAATCCTGAACTCTAGAGATGTATCTTTGATCACTTTGTAGAGGAAGTCTTTCAACAAGGGTGCTTATTGTCTCTTTCTCAGCTGATGATAGCAAATATACCTAAAATCTTTCTCAAAGATCACCAGGAAAGGTCACATCAAATAAGCAGAAATGAGATTTGTCATCATGCAAGATGACATTTTACTTTGCATAAACAAATTATAACTCTGGCTTCATAATCTGTCCCTTTAAAAAAGGGGCTTTATTTTGGCCACTGCCTTTGTTGGATGCTCTTCTGCCAGCATACTGTAGGGCAGCCAACAGTCTTTAGGTAGGTAGCACACTAGGCTGTTCAGGATTTTACATGTCAAAACAGCTTAGATGCTAGTACCCAGCAGCTAACTAAAGCAGATCCAGAGACACTCATGTCAAGGACTTTCAGGAATGTGTGGTCCTTAAGAGACAATCTGCTGATGCCTCCATCAGACTCTATTTCTCCATAGCTGTGGGTAAACCTTCCTTCATTAGTTGGGAAGGACTTGACAGGAATGTAGATGATACTTAAAGAGATTTCTGAAGTAGTGAAAGGGCCTTGTGTCAGTGAGGTAGGCCACCAACCCGTTCATGCAGAAATGTTGGAAAAAGTCAAACTGAGGGAAACAGTCACAATAGTCAGACTAGGAAAGTAACACAGCGGAAAGCTGAGACCAGGGGGAAGAGTGGTGTGTGATTACTCTCAGGCCCTCCAGCAGACCACTTTATAGCTGGGAGATAAGATTCTTTTACATGTTTTTTAAGGCAGTGTTGGAGGAAAGGACGTGAAAAATCATAGTATTGTTTGGTTTTGTGTGAGAATATACTTATGTTTTGCTGGTTAAAAAATGCAGATTAGCAGGTTTTGGTATTTCCATGCTGCCTCTTACACTTGTACTTGCTTATCTGACATACGTGATATCCAGTCAGCAAAAAAATGACATTCTATTTGTAATTTTTATAAGGTCATCTGAGATTAAGCTATGATTATGTAAACTATGTAATTATTATGAATATGAATTCTATTTTTTTTTCAAAATTTTTAGATCCATGACATTTGCCTCTTAATGTTTAAAAAATAACAAGTGGCTTTTTTTTTTTCCCATAGAAAAAACAAAAGAATATTTTGCGAATAGGAATTCAGAGTCTGGGTTCCATGTTGTGGGGTGATGACATTTGTAGCAGTGACACTCCTGAAGACATTCATAGCCTTACCAAATTTCTCTATGTTCTCCGTGGCCTCCTCAGAAAATCTTTGTCAGCCTGCATCGTCACAGTGCCTGCTCACCTAATCCAGGTAGGAGTGCTGTCATTGCTGTATTTCATAGCTGACACATCCCTTAGCAAAAAGTCAAAGATTATGGTAAGAAAATAAATGCAGTGGACATTTTGAGAACTCCTTTTGTTCAAATGGCAGAGTTAAAACACAACTTCACTGTAGTGTTTCTGTACTTTTGTGGGACAGTCATGCTACAAAATGATCAAAAACCAAAGCATCAAATGGTCTTGGATACAATTATGCCTTAGGTGGGTCTTAGTGTTTTTTTTTTTTTTAAAAACTATCCACATTTCAAAAAGAAAGCAAAGAGAATCCTGCTAGTAATCTCTTTTTTTTCATTTCATTTTTTACAACATCCCCTCCACTGCATTCAGAACACTGTTTAGTGTTTCAGTACAAGACATTTCAGTGCACTGTCTTTATCTGTCATGCTGAATGATGATGTGTGATCTTGTTTTTAAAGCCAGGAATTGAAAGATGCAAGTTTACTTTAATATCCCCTTGTGCTGGGACAGGAGCAAACATTTATGGTATCAGAATAATTTTTCCAACTGTAATATCAGAAGCTGCTAACAGCACCTTTCCTGAGAATGTATGGAGACATAAATGTATCCTCTGGAAATGGACTCTTAGCAAAGGGAAACATGTAGATGTGCTTTTTTTCTGCAAGTGGTAATGTAACTTACAGAAGCAAAATTATTATTCACAATGAACAGAGAACCTATAATTTTAGATATTAATTTGATTTGGTTATAGTAAAAAAATAGTGGATGACACCTCATATTATGCAAAATGTTTTCATGGTAGATGGGTTTATCGTTAGGTTAAATCCTGTCTTAGGTAAGTACACAGCTCTCATTTCTGTGTTGAATTTGTAAAGGTGCTTCAATACCTGATAATATTATTTATCTGGATACCAGATGTACTTACTGCTTTGAAAATAAAGAAACTTGATTTTCTTTTTTTACCTTTGCAATCAAAAGTATATGAATATTGATTCCTTTTGTAGTGGAAACCTCCATCTCCTTACATAGTTGTTTTTAAACATTAGGTGACAGTTTCCCTTGAAAAAGATTGACAGTAAAATTTAATGGAATGAATAGAATTTATGAATGCAAAACTGGTATCCTTCATTTTACACAGTGGAAGTACCTGTCCATAATTAGGTCATAAAATTAATTTCATTGCACTCTTTTTTATGTATTATGTCAATAAAAGGTATGATCCTATTTTAGAGAAGAAGTCCAAAAGCAACTCTTAAGAAACAAACTGAAGGATGTGGGGTTTTTTTTGTTGCAAACTTACCGGGGAAGTTGATTTTGGCTTTGTATTTATAAATCTGTATAAATAATTCCCATGGAGTTGGGACTGAAGTTTATATCTCATTTTTTAAATAACGGATTTTTTTTATTTTTTAAAGAATTGGTTTAAGGTTAAATGCTAGAATATTCTGAATTTAAAAAAAAAAAAAAAAAAAAAAAAAAAAAAAAAAAAAAAAAAAAAAAAAAAAAAAAAAAAAAAACATAAGAAGGAATGTTATTTCCAGAATCATTACTTAGCAGCCTTAAACAAATGAGAGCATTTTTTTTTTAAATTGTTAAATTTCATGTATCCTTCTTTAAGCACTAAACTATGGAGAAAACTGTCATTAGGAGGAGCAAAGCTGCTGAGGGTTCCTTATACCCCACATTACTCAGTTCCCAGAGCCCTGCTGTGTAGTTGTTCCACTCTCCAAGAAGCCTGTTAAAGAGCCCCTGAGAGCATGTGTACAGCCCTCCATGTTAATAGTTAATTGGTGAGGATGGCAAGATGAGAGGACAGCCGAACATGTGGTCTCTCAGGCTCAAGCCGTAGACAGACCTTTAGTTATAATAACAGCAGCTGCTCACATTCTCACAACCCAGCTAGTCACCATTCTGTTGCTGAGGTTTCTTGCTGGATTGAAAAAGTAAAGAAAATATCTTTCCAAGAGAATGAGAGGGGATTTTTTTTTTTTTCCAAGTGCATTTCTGTATTTGTATTTAATTTGATCAGAGTGGGTTCTAGCATATGCTCAATCTGAAAGTCACTGAAGGCATAGAAAATGCTCACTGTTTTTCTCAAGATGTAGTGAATTCCACATTTATTCCCAGAACTACTGTTACTGTATTTTCTATGTTATCTTTAGCCTTCCCAACTGTATTAATTAGGTGATCTACAAGTAAATTCTTTACATGAGTCATTTCCATGAAGGTAAATATAAGTTCAAAATCACATTTTAATCAAGGTTTTGTCTGCATAACATGTACAGAAAAGTAGTTCCATTTGCACCTGCTTTGTCTTGGAAAAAAAAGATTCTTAGTAGTGACTTGTACCACATCTTGTCTCTTATCAGCCCCCAGTACCAATTACTCTAGTGAAGAAGGAATAAAACTCACAATTGGTAGTACTGATTTTCAACAGAGACAATGTCTTTCCAACCCAGGTATATTTTTAATACGTGGTGTACAAATAATGCATATATATACATACACATATACTTTGAGACTGGCTTCTTCTATATATTTTGCCAAACACTTCACATGCTGCACTGTGACAGTGCATTCCACAAATTAAATCCACCTGGTTTCTTCCTTTGTCCAAAAGTTTAATTTGCCTTTAGTTTTCATAAATTTTATCTTCTTTCTTGGCTGCTGAGACAATGAGGTGAGGCTTCCTATTTTATCATTTCTGTATTCTGATTGTTTTATAATTTTTCTCGTGCCGCCTCCTTGATCTACCTTCAAACAGTCACACTTTTTTAGTGCTATTTTACTTTGTTACTGTAAATGTAACACATTCATGCTGTTACAGTTTGTTCACTTTCCTACATTCTAATGTCTGATTTGTCTCTTTGAGTATGAAATATTAAACGGTGATTTTGTTCTTGATGCTTCCCCCTCTGTGGTACACATCCACCAACGTGGCTCTTTCATTATTTCAGCTATTCATTGTCTTTGATTTAATAACTTTGAATCGCATTTATCCAAAGCTGATGCTTATTCACTCAGTTTGAGGGGACACTGGATGTCTTCACAGTCTTCTGTATTATGGTAAAAAGTACAATTTTACCCAAAAGAATGCTTGCATACAGAGGGGTTTTTTTAATAATTTAAAGATATTGTAGTCCACTAAAAACACAGATTTTGTACTTTATTGACAACGCTCCTTGTGCAAACAGTGTATGAAGAAAAAAGAAAATTCTCTTTTCTCAAACACAAAAATAAGAATAGATTATTCTGAAGGAGGATTTCAATAAAATGACACTAAAAACTTATCCATTTATGAAATTTATTCAGATGATGCGTGACAAGTTTTACTTGATTGATATTTTGTACTGATTGAACATACTCTTATCTTACACTGTCTGTCAGGTAATAAATATTGAGATACTTATGAGTATGATTAAAATAGTTGATGGAAGGTTATTTTTCAAGTCATTCTACGGCTTCTTGAAAATGAATTCTGCCTATGAAATCAGATGGTGCATTTGAAAAGGGAGAATTACTGCCACGTTTTAAATCTAGCATTGATCAAGGAGGGAGACTGAAGAGGCGTTTCATTTATTGTTACACTTTCCAAATTTAAGGAATATTATACAAACAAGTAAAGACTCTTTTTCTGTATCTTGATAATCTGTGTGGTTTAGTACCTAATTTTTTAAAAAAAATAACTTTCTGTGCTACAGGGTGTGACATAAAGGACTTTAATGTCACTGTTTTATACTTGCAAAAGACCTAAATGAGAAGTTAAAATATTTTCATATTGTATTTTCTTCTTTTTCTTTAATTACTAGAAATCATCAATAAATCCAAAAACATCTTACCCCAGAAATACAAAATATTGTTCATAATTCTGTTCCTGTTCTTCTCAATTTTATATCCCTGAAGTAATATTTGTTTTTGAGTACGTTATTATATTCTTTGGGAGAAAGCATAACACTTTTATTAAAGCCTTCCTTTATTTTCAGCTTGAAGATGTATTACTGGTAAGGACTAACAACCATATTAGTCAGCATGTACCAAGGGAAATTAATTGACTAATGAAAAGTCAGTATGAATAAGTCTTGTTACAGAACCTGTCCTCAGAGTCTGAAGTTCTGTTTAGCAAGGTATTTTCATTATTTCGTCCAGTATGTTAAAAAATTAATTTCCTACAATATTAATGTTCTGATGCTTTGAATTCACTGAAGTGTGTAAGTTACTGTATGTTTCAGCGTAGAAAAATTCAGAAACAAACCTCTTCACAACCATAGCCTTTTGTGTTCACACTGAGTAGTTTAGCAGCTAAACTCAAAGTCAAGACATAGAGTGCTCTAGAGTCCACTGCTAAGGCAGGATTATAAGATGTGAACACCTAGAGCGTGTGAATTTCTCATAGTTTGAAATCTTTATCCCTATGACAAGAGCTAAGAATGATTGTCTGCCTTAAAACTAACTTCCGAGTTCACAAGTAAGAAAAGATGAATAATCTTCAAATGTATTTGAGGGGATAGCCACTGCACACTAATTTGTATTGAGATCAAATGTCATGCAGATTCTGTATCATAGTTAAGCCAGCTTTCAAAATTCTCTTCAAAATAGAAAATATGAAGATGAAATGGTCTTCACATTTTATCTGTTGGGGGTTTTTAATGTTACCTTTACCTTGCCTTTTAATGTTACCTTTTTTTGTGTGTGATAAATACAGTTTAACAACCATACAAAAGACATATTGAGAGTCGTGAGTTTATGACAGGTATCCACTTAGTTTTCAGATGTGAATATTCAGGTTTGGATCTGCTAGACATTCATAAAAGCATCCTTAAAATTAAGATCAAATAGGAAGCTCAGAACAATGTATAATTCAAAATTTAAATTACAGTAAGTAATTATGTTTTCAATTTCTATTGTTATTGATAGTATTTGCTAATCATATTACAGGAAAAATAGAAATACTTTGCTGTTTCCTAAAATAAATTTATGGTTGCCAACAGGCTGTATTCTACCTCTACAACTTCT